ATCCATCCATCCATCCATCCATCCATCCATCCATCCATCCATCCATCGCGGCCGGAGCCGCTAGCTCTCCAGTGTTCCTCCGCCTGCACCAGCTGAGCAAAGCGAGCGTGCACGGGAGGACTTGCTGTTGCAATTCTTAGAAATTTAAAGCGTCAGTCAAAAATTGCGTTATGAATATGGGAAAAAAAAACATATCCGTCGCTTCAGAGTATAAGTCACAGGACTGACAAATCTATGCAAGAAACTGCAACTTATACGCCGGAAAATACGGTAATCAGTTTAATGTCACAAGAACACATTTTTATGTAACCATACCAAGACACTTTTAATCCCATCATACAGAGTGACACTGAAAAAAACTGGTTCAGTTTTGTTGAGTAGAAAACAAAATAGGCAAATCTGCTACTTTTTCAATACAAACTGTGATAAAACTAATTATCTGTCCACTTGTGAGGTGCTGGCAACACTCGGGTTTCACAACACGGTTATGACGCAACAGAGCTTCATGGATTATAACTACTTCTATTTCTGAAAACGTCTGAGCTAAAACAACCAGATTTTCACAATAGGTGGACATGATCAGCGTTAATTTAAGCAAACAACAAAACATTTCATCGTGTCTGCACACTTACAAATGAAAATAAAAAAATCCTTGATTTTGGTGATGGGTGTGACAACCTGGTGCAACACAAACCGCAGCTAAATGTTTCCAGTACTTGTTTATCAATTGTAACATATGCACCAGCAAAACTGGTTCCTATCATGACACAACCTCCATCATGTTTTGAACATACGGAGTGCTTTTTATAGCAGAAATGTCATGGCATGCTTCTCCTTGAAAACATTTTTTGTGTTTTTTTTAGTCTCATTAATCTTGTACTTGCACTTGTAAACTTTTCCCAACCTGTTGACTGCTGCCATAAAACAGTTCCACAAAAATGTGAGGAACAGATGTTAATAAAGCAGCGCACTAACACATTTCTCTACACAAAGAAAAAATCATAATGTTCGTTTTTAATTAGTAGAGTTTCCCCAACTGTTAACTTATTCTGTATAATTATGGGTATTAGAGCTACAGGAGCAACAGAAAAGCAACTGTTAAAGATTGTCAGGTATGTAATTTCTGCACTGATTTTTAGAAAACTCTTACCTTCAGGAGACTCCTCCTGCACGTATGTGCCTGTCAAGTATCGATGCACCAAGGCGGACTTCCCACTGGACAAATTCCCCACAATGCCCTGAAAAACACCGGGATTATCATTGACACGACACAAGAAAATTCAACAAAAAGGTCATTTACTTTTAAAACATTCATTATGTTTGTTAAGTTTAAAAACAAGCATATTTCTAATGGCAGTTCAAGTTTTATCCTATTTTCTGTTATCTAAAGATTTAAAAGATTTTAGTTGCACGTCATCAATAAAAAAAAACAATACTGATATTGCATATTTTGTTATATACATATTTATCAACTTTATGATATTCTAGATTACATTAGTTTCAATGTCCTTTCGGCTTTTGGTTTAATTTACTGGCATCTTTGGAGCAAAAGTGTGTATAGTCTGAGGCCATGGTTCTTGACTGGAAACAGGTAGAAAGACCATTCTAGGTCAGCTTAACAACAGGAGATGGGTCGACGAATTGGGGCCTCATCCTGAGTAATGAGGGCATTGCTTCGGTCGGTCGTGGTGAAGAAACAGCGGAGTTGAAAAACAAAGCTTTTGATTTACTGGTCTGTCTATGTCACAACCTTCACCGATGGTCATGAGGTTTGGATCATGACCAAAAGAAGAAGATCCCAAATAAAAATGGCCAGGCTCAGCCTTAGAGATAGAGTGAGGAGCTATGCAAAGGATGCAAAGGAGCCATTGCTCCTTGGCATCAAAAGGAGTCAGGTTTTCTGGGCACGTTCCACTGAGAAGAGGCCCCGGGGCAGACCCAGAACTTGCTGGAGGGATTGTGTATCCTGTCTGGCCTGGAAACACTTTGGGGTCCTCTATGACAGTGGTTCTGAAACTAGGGTTCCTGAACCCCTGGGGGTCTGTGAGCTGGTGCTTGGGGGTCTGCAAAAACAAAAATCTTCTCTCTTCTTTTTTTTTTTTTTTTTTTACAAGCATGTAGATGTTTATCAACCTGTTAAAATACATCAAAATGCAGGAAACCACATGTATTTTATTCAAAAATTTCTAGGGGAGGACCCCCAGACCCCTCGTCCTATGCACCTATTTGCATTCCGGCATCGATCAGTTTACAAATGAAGCCTTGTCACTTGGTCTGACTACTGCTGTTATGATTCTGTTCATCCATCCATCCATTATCTATTACCCACTTCTTCCATTTTGGGTCACGGGGGTCGTCGGTGTCCATGTCCAGCAATCATTGTGCGAGGGACGAGGTACACCCTGGACAGGTCGCAAGTCCATCACAGGGCCACATAGAGACAAACAACCATTCACTCTCTCACTCGCACCTAGGGACAATTTAGAGTTACCAATCAACCTAACATGCATGTTTTTGGTTTGTGGGAGGAAACCGGAGAACCAGGAGAAAACCCACACAAGCACGAGAAAAACATGCAAACTCCACCCAGAAGGGTCCCCGGACCGGGATTTGAACTGAGGACCTGTACTCCGAGAGGCAGCAGCTCTACCAGTTGCGCCACGGTGCTGCCCTGATTCTGTTCAGTTTTATGTAGAGTTTTCTGCAATAATTTGAAGAGGTAGCAATACTTTATACATTATGTGAATAGGTAAAGTTTGAAAGTGTTTTTCGTTAATTTTCTCAAAACTGTAAATTTTGGAAGTTGACATTAAAAATTGTGTTAATTAAGTTTGTCTTGAATGAAAAATACCTCATGTTCAAAAGTATAAAATTGTATAAATATCAAAAAGAACAGGTCTTATGTATTTATGTTACACAAATATTTCCATTGCATTAAAGAGACAAATTGAAGAAACGTATTTAATAAACATGAGAGTTGTGAGGGGGTCCCTGAAACTTTTTCTCCCCTGTAAGGGGTCCCTGAACCCAAAACCTTAGAGAACCTCTGCTCTAGGAGGAGCTGGAGAGAATCACTGGGAAGAGGGACATCTGGGTTTTTCTACTGGACCTGTTGCCTCCACAACCCGACTACGTGTACGCAGCAGAAGACTGAGATGGATTATTTAAGCTTTTAACAATCGCAGTTGTACTGCTGCATGTGTCAGTCTATGCAAAGAATTTTAAAAGTACAGTAATAAAAAAAAATGTCTCTAGTATCCATCCATCCATCCATCCATCCATTATCTTTACCCGTTTATTCCATTTTGGGTCACGGGGGTCGCTGGTGCCCATGTCCAGCAATCACTGTGCGAGGGGCGGGGTACACCCTGGACAGGTCGCAAGTCCATCACAGGGACACATAGAGACAAACAACCATGCACTCTCACTCACACCTAGGGACAATTTAGAGTTACCAATCAGCCTAACATGCATGTTTTTGGTCTGTGGGAGGAAACCGGAGTACCCGGAGAAAACCCACGCATGCACGGAGAGAACATGCAAACTACACCCAGAAGGCCCCTGGACCGGGGTTTGAACCAGGGACCTGTTCGCTGAGAGGCAGCAGCTCTACCAGTTGCGCCACCGTGCTGCCCCCTCTAGTATCCAATAAGTATTATTTCTGCAAATAATAACTGACACATAATTTAGCTTTTAGCTATTGTTCTGCTCCTTTCAGCTTTTATAGTTTTACTCTTTTTAGGTTTTTGCTACAGTTTGGCTACTTTTAGATACTGTTCTGCTACTTTTAGCTTATGTAGTTTTGCTATTTTTATCCAGCCTTTTGCTGTTATTAAATTTTAGCTACTGTTTTTCTACAAAGTACTTTAAGCTTGAAATGAGTAAAATATTCTGTTTATGCATATTTTAACCAAAAGCACACATTTGACTTGTGTGAGCCATTTTTTATTTTTTTTTGGAGACAAATTTACAAAATGTTTGCATAAAATACCATCATTACAGTTCAAATCATGATGAATTGCTTCCTTGTTGCTGTTTCCATGTTCTGCACATTTTCTTCTTCTAGATCTCACATTTAGTGTGTCTATCAATCCTCAGAAACCTATTATTTTTTTCATCTTGCAGGTTGCACCTTTTCTGTCTGAAGTGTTACGTTTTGGCTTCCCAAAGGGACGCTCTTCTTTGATGGTACATTCAAAGTGACACACACAAACCTGTTCAGATGCTGTGTTGTACTGCCACTCTCTAGTTTCCTTTAATAAAGAAACATGCTGGATTCTAACAGCAGAATTGCATTTTTATGCACAGATCGTCCTACTTGTGTCTAAAATTTAAGCTCTTCCTTGTCAATAGACCCAAAATACTAAACCTGTCCATCTACTAGGGGCAGCTGTGGCTGAGTGGTTAGAGCAATCGTCCACCAATGGGAGAGTTGGGGGTTTGAGTCCACCAGCAGTCGCATGTTGAAGTGTCCCTGGGCACCGAACCCGTCATTGCCTCTGATATGAGTCTCATCGGTGTATGAATCAGATCTAAAGCACCGATTAGTCTCTATAGAATGATTTGTTTGATTATCTTTGTAGAGATGTAGTAGAGTGTTGTATGAATGTGTGTGTGGGGGTAAACGAGGGCATAGATTGTGTTGTAAAGTGTTTTGAGTATCTTGATTAGACACAAAGGTGCTATATACTGTAATTACAGTCCATCTGCTGCATGTTGACGCATGTTTTTAATTGTGTTTCAGGATTATAGCAAATCTGTATTATCAGCAAAGTGACTCATCGCTGCTGCATATGACTCCACAAAATGAACACAACACTGAACGCATTTAGATGTATTATAGTTGGTTTACCTAAATTATTGCACCAAAAATATGCTTTTGATGTGAAAAAGCTTTCTTGACTAAATTTGGAGATTTTTTCTAATAATGGGAGAAATATTCTCTCTTAGAACCTTTACATACATAAAAAGTAAAAAAAAAAAAAAAAAAGTCAGCTCAAACTAAAACATACGACCTACTAATGGGGATTTTTACATCATTAAATCAAAAGATGTCTGGATGGTTTGAAAACCAACAAAAATGTCTGGTGTATTTCAACATCAAGGAGCAGCAACTGAAAATACATTTGCAAAAATATTATTAATAATAATAATAATAATAAGATGGTTATTTATTAAGACCAGGAGAGGCTGAGCAATTATGCACACAGTCTTGTAACATGCAGCAGTTTGGTTACAATTATTCCTCTGCTTTAACTTCCTGTTGCCGGCACCAGACCTCGCTGTGTTGCCTTCAGGGTGATGCCTGGTGGAGGGTGGGCAGAAGATGCCTGCGTGTCTGAGAAGAACAAAAGGACGCATCGTCTCCTCCCACTCCTCCTCCACCCACCATCACCCTTCTTCTTCATCAAATCATTAGTGGGTGGTAAAGTCAGGTATGGTTCTAATTATAGAGACGTTTGACGCACAGGAAGAAAACCATTTCAGGCCTGTTCAAGGCTGCGTTTTTTTTTTAACTTGAAGAGTACATAAAAACACAGAATGAATACAAAAATAATGTATCTGGTAGCTGTGCATAGTAAAAGTAAAAGCTACGAGTCAACAAAAAACAGTCTTTAATTGCACCTGAGATGTGGTGTTCCCTTCTGTTTCAACTGTTCAACGCTGATACCTGCTGTTTCTTTAAGGCCTCGTGAAAAACAAGACGCCCCATCAGCACTGCTCCGCTACAAAACTTTTACTCCTCTTTGAAGATGTGCAGCTCTGATCTGGGAACAGTTTCAGGTGGATGATGAAAACTATGGCAACAGAGTCAGGTGATTCGGCTGTGACAACACCTCGCTTTAAGATGAAAGTTGTAGATCTTCTGAGTTAATCTGCAGGAAATGTTGTGATACCTTATTAATTGATGTGACGGGTGAGAAACAGGCTTCATGATTTACCAGGTTGGTGGCAACCTCATTGTCGCTAAAAGTTTATGAACGTTTGCATGATGTGATGTTTATTTTGCATCACTTTATTCAGACTCACCAGGTCCACTTAACAAGCCTCGTTGTGGGAACTTCCAATTAACACCTCGGAATCATAAATAAAGGACATGTTGAAGCATTTGAAGATAGAAAAGCAAGTTAATCTTTGAGATCTGAACTGCAAATTCTCATTTAATTGAACTTTTCCCTTTTATTCTGTTCCAAAAAGCCAACACAAAGAATTCACCTTACAGGGACAACATCACATCGTCAAACACAAAAGCAGAGCAAAGCTTTTCAGTGCTGCTTGTCATTTTAGGTCATTATGGGAGAAAAGTTAAAACCATTTGAGGATGTTAGTTGTGCATTTGGCAGTGGCTTTGTGAGTGTGCTTCACTGAGATCGCACTCAGGATGTGTCACCGGTCTACCCTAAAACTGTCACTCATCTCCTCGTCCTGCTGCAAGCCACCTTGCATCTGTGTGCCAACACATCTCAGAAAAAATAATAATCTTCTCTATGCCAGCAAAGAGGTCCAGCCAATTAGTTACATTTTCCTTCTCATGTGAAATACAAAACTAGTATTAGATGTGGATAACAGATTTAACTATCTTTGTATGATGAAACTGGATGACTAGATGATAAAACCTTTTTGGGGAAAATCAACATTCAAGCTGATCAAACAAATAAAAAATAAATAAATACTCACCACTTTGAGCTCTGGAACTGATCGACTCAATGTCCATTCCTGGCTGTTGACGAAAGAATCTGAAAGAAAACAACAACAAAAAAAAACAGAAAAATGAATCACGACAGGTGTACTTTTCAGACTGAAGATGAAACCTGCAGTGTCTTCTGACAGATGTTTCACTGACATTTACTGTAGCTAAGACAGGACCCACCTACTGTCAGATCAGGACGTTTGGTCCACTTCAGTCACTGAATATAGCTTTGCATTTTTGTTTTTACAATTACTGTTAGAGAGATAAACTGATGTGTATTTGTCTTAAAATTCAACACATTTTTTAATAATGTACCGGTATTCATATTCATTTGGCAATGGGTATTGCTTTTTATATTATTCTGAATTTGACTGTATCCATATTGTTTGATTACAGCCTAGATTCATTTGATTTGAATGAGATATTGAAGCTGAACAATGTTGCATGCAACCCAAGTGGAAAAAGGTTGGGTTACTTAAAATTAACCCTGGTTCTTTGACTTCGGGCTGCTGTTGTTACGCCGTATTGTTTTACAATATTAGTGTTGAGCGTATATCATAGATCTTAGCGTACCGTTTGTGTTTGTTAGCATATATCTGAGTGTATATCTTAGATCCGTATTCAACATTTCTTTTTATACTGTATATCTTGATATTTTTGGGTGTGTACACAATTTCATTCCACCTCATGTACCACATGTGATGGATCGACAATAAAGATACTTGAACTTGACAACAGGGTGAGATGTTTCACTATGGGAATCACCTTGGAGTGACCAAACATGGAAGCTCCAATGACATCACGTCTGCCTGAGACCAACTAGTTTAGCCGTGATTTGGGCTACACCCCACATCATAGTTCCATGATCAACCGACCACCCCCTACCAAATAAATGACCACCCCCTGCTAAATCTAGGATGGTAGGGGGTGGTGGTAAAAGCCTACTTTTGAGATTCCAACAGATGGCTGGCTTGAAACACAGCAGTGAAGGCCACCTATGCAACAGATCTGTTTGGCAGGCCCTAGACTGACGAAGTCCTCTGGATGGGGGACGAAATGTTTCTCACTTAAAGAAACTGGTCCACATGACATGATTTAACCTTTTTTATTGTTATCCACCTGGATGATTGAGCTTACAACCCTTTTTCTAGGATGTTTTCTTTGGCCATGCAAGAAACACCTTGCTCTGTTATCAAAGAACCAGGGTTTACGTTAAGTAACCTAAAATTATTTTTCTAACTTGGCTTGGTGATTCACTGTGAAAGACATAGCCCAGTCCTGTATTTCATAAAAGCATCCAAGCCCAAACAACTGTTATCCTGAACACAGATTAAGTGGGCTCTGAGGTTCCAGCATTCAGTAATGAGTGAGATACAGATGGCTAAGCATTATCTAGCCTGTAAAAGTGCATAAACGTATGAGGTGTGGCCCAACTAGCTGCATCACTGATATCCTGAACAGATACCCCTCAAAATACAGCCCGTGATGTGGCCATGGTCAAGGTAGAATGTATAGATTGTATGCCAGTGCCAGCTGTACGTACTTCGAATGGATACATATTTACGACTTTCAAAACAAAAAAAAAACCTGCTGATGTAGAATTGTGAAACACTTATTGAGCACAGTTCAGGCTAGTCCAGTTTAAGGTATCTCTAAAAGGGATTAAACTAATCTTTTGTGAAAGCCAGCTATTATCGGGCCTGATCGAACTCGCTTGAATTCCCAGTCACGTTAAGAAATTTTGACAAGTTAATATCATCTTGGTATACGTCAGTTTGTACTCTAAAGAACAAAATGAACTAAAAAAGACAAGTGACAGTGTCACGAGCTGTGACACATTCCCCACAGAGATGAATTAAACATCTCCGTACCGTAACATCAATTAGAACATAGATCACCCTTTTCTTGTTTTGGATCATAATGATCTCACTTTCTTAACCCCCTCACCCCACACCCCAAGATATCACTGTTTCACTTCTCCTGGCAACAAGGTGTGCTGAACCAGGTGACTCTCCCTTTCCATATGTTAAAATCAGAACAATTAAATTACTCATCCACCATTATTACAGTAAACCTGTTTGTTGCTGATGCAGTGGTTTCCTTTTGTGCTCTGGGCGGCGATAACCCAACCGTATAAACTGTTTCTTTAAACTGCTGTTTAAGGAAACGCCTCTCTTTTCTCTCCAAAACTTATGACAAACCCACGAATCTCCAAACATCCCCAAAGCATCTCCAAACAAACGTGAGCCAACAACTCTTTTACCTCCTACAATTATCTCCAGCTAAAATGTTTACTTATTTCTGACCTTCATTTAGCCCCACACTGCTTTAGATGTCTCACTTGTTGTGGGATGTGGGGGGGTGCATCCCAAACAGAGGGGCTTTTCACTGTGGAGCAGACCAGTCTTTTGACAACACGCCTCCAGTAAAGCCCTCTCTGTGTGGCTTTGACATGTTGGAACACATGCACCTGAAGAGCAGGAAACTCGATGCAGGTGAGGTCACAGCTTTCTAAAACAATAACAGATAAGGCCTCATTTTCTTACATTTCCTGTTTTTAACACCAAAATATCAACACTTCTGATTTAATAGTCATTAAAAACTGAGAAAAATAAGCAAATGACTCGTTTTTTCACACTTATAAAATCTTTTAAAGAATTTATTTAATGATATCCTCTCCAACAACAACAACAAAAAAGGGGGAATATGTTCAGCAATCCAAGAGAGATACAGCACAATCAGTTCTAAGTGAAAGAATCCTAATTGAATTCATGTGCTCTTTGTTACACAATTCCAAGTACGATCGTCTCCACATTACTGTGTACCGCAAAGGAAACAGAGAGCCCCATCATTTCTGATGCCAACAGAGGACAGTCGGTGTCTTTGTGAGGGGGAATACACGCTGCCAACTTGTTTGTCGGGTTTCCTAAATCACCGCTCGTGTCTGCTCAGGTAAAATGAATATTCAGTCTAAGCGAAGAAGAGTGTAATTGCCCCCAATGCTTGTTCATTTCCACAAGGATAAAAAAATTTAGCAGCAAATTTGTGCAAATGGGTTTTACAAGTGTGCATATGCACATGCATGCATGCATTTCTTTATACAGAGAGTCTGAAGTGGGTTTTGGAAATGATAGAGGGCCAGCCTTGTGGTCTACACTTACACTCTGAATTTCCAACCATGCTTTTCCACTGTCAGAAATTACAGAGCCAGATTTCAACTAGCAAACTACTTCAATCGTTTGCCAACCTTGTGACCAACCTACATTCCCAGTCTGGCTCCTTTTATCAACAGTGTCTTGACAAAATAGTTGTGTAGCATCGTTTTCTCTGCGTACACATTCAACATAAAAAAGTGGAGATTTTGAGAAGTCTGACAATGAAACTAACATCTGACTGTGTCAGATGTTGTCTTTGTTGCTACAAGAGGAAAAGAAAAAAGAAAAACCCTGCTGACATCAACAAGCTAAGAATCAGAATGAATACAAAGCTCTTAGGATCAAAAGTTTTCAGAACTCAGATTTTTCAACAGTTTTCAAACTTGTTGGTGAAACAGTCTTCAGAACAGAAGGATCCAGCTCCCTTACAAAACCACAGTGACAATGACAAAGAACAAAATGTTCTCAAGCTGAGATTTTCAGAAACTGAAAGATGAGCTATAGTCACTTATTAACAAATATCCCTCCATTTTTGTCTAGACTGTAAATGCAGGTCTTTAAAATGTTTCACGGTATATTTAATGTGTCATAGAGTAGACGGACACAACCACCAACTTTAAAAGTGTGTGACTGGCCTGCTGTGACATCAAAACTAACTAACTCTGATTTAGATTTAAACGTAAGTAAAGCTTCATGTAAAATGCATTGTGTGGTGTAGGAGTATGCAGACAGTTTGCAGTTGCAGCATAAAGTTGATACAGGAATCACTGTTGGCACGAATTTACAGAGACAGATATCAAATAAGACAGAAACAAAGAAGCAAAGGGAAATCCATCTTTATGAGTAACTTTTATGTCAGATTCAAGAAAAGCTAACATGGATCACACACTCTCACTGGAACTTTTCACACATTTCCAAAAGGTAGTAACAATGTGTATCTGAATATGTCAGTGCCATACAAACCCTTAGTTCTATCTACATGTATTTCAACTTTCAGTAGATACAGTATGTCCACTGCCAATTGTGGATGGAGCAGCCCCCATCCCAAATACCAATGGAGAGCCCTCATTTCAGTGCACGGTTCAATGATCACTCCTGAATTCACTCACAGGAGCCACAGAGCAGCTTTGTTCATCCACAGGTGGGGGTGGGGACACCTCAATATCCCTCCCCCACCCCAAACTTCATCATGAGCACAATTTCAGCGTGTGCATATGTGTATGTCATCAGTTTTAAGAAAACTGGGCTTCAGCTTATTGGATTTAATTTAAGAACAAGCACTGAGGCAGGTAGCAACAGGCACCGAGTCCCGCCCAGGGCACTGAACACCTAACCTTACTCCGGCTGATCGACACACCTACATTCCAAATGCCTGACTGACTGGCTCCACGGTCAAATACATGGACAAGTACTGCTTGACAGTTCAGCAGAAATCAAAGTATCCTTGGTAACGCAGCGTGTCAAAACACAAATAAAGAGAAGTTCAAAAAGGTCAGACTCAGGGCAGTATGAGTGATCGTGCAAAAAGGAAATGAAAATAGCTATTAGCTACTTAAATCTTTAACTTAACGAGAGTTAGTGCAGGATATTTGAAACCTGACATCTAGAGAAGTCATAATTAAGTTGTCAAAGTAAACTAGTTTGGTGTTTGTGATAAGGTGTGAAAGCTGGAGCTAGATGTACAAAAAGCAGCAAATCTCAGCAGCCATTAATTCAGATAGTTACAAATATTTGCCTCTTTATGCCTGTTTTTCCAGGCAACAGGACAAACACTACGCTGTCAGAGTTAACCTTTAAACACAGTGCTTAAGTCCTTTTCTCCTCTCCCCATCATTACAGCATGTAAGCCTTCCTGATATAGCACTGCACAACTGCCAAACGCATCCTCATT